CAGTTTTGACTTCGAAATCATCACAAGCACGACCAAGAAGGAGAGACATTAAAAAAGAAGGAGAGAAATGACACGAGCAAACGACAAAACAAATCAAAGAGAGCATACAACCACAAAGCCAACGCATAGAAACAAACATCATGTTCACACAAACACAATAACACTAATAACACAAAAATGGTACCCCCAAAACAATGGAAAGAAAACAAGACCAACAAAAGGAACACGCAACATATACTAATGTTTCTACATTGACATATACAAGTATACTAATGTGAATACCTCCCCCAACAACCAAAAACTGAAAACACAACAAAAAAGACTGGCTGGGTGCCTGGCATCCAAGGGGCACGTTGGCCGGCGTCACCGCCCAGGTGAGGCCGAAGAGCCCCAAAGCCGCTGCCGCGTGCAGCTGGCGCACCGCTTTCGGCACCTCCCAGGAGAAGGCGCCTGGCGCGCTCGCTGGGCGCTCCGTGGGCCGTCGGGCAGCCGCCGGCTACGGGGCTCAGAGGGGGTCAGAGGGGGGGGGGGGGGGGATGGCTCAGTCGGTTTTGGGGGTGGTATCCTGTTTTCGTTTTTTGTTTTTTTTAAGGGTACGTCAAAAACCGAACAAAGTTTGGCTCCCTAGCCCACGCTTCAACTTTGGAGGCCCCAAAGACCCCCGAAGACCTCAAACATGAGAAGGTCTTGGTGCCCTAGGCTTTGGCTTTGAGTCGAAACCAGAAAGAAAAAAAGCCGTTGCGCTGGGCCTTAAGAAACGACACACCCAAAAAAAATCTGATCTGCAGCTTCCATGATTGTTGGATGCCCCTCAAATGGCGCAATGGTTGTCCTTTTGGGGTAGGGCAGGAAAGGATCATCATGGGTGAGCTCGCTTTACACCCGATCGGTGAGCTCGCTACAACTTGACCTCCCAGAAAACCAGCTTCCTTCACTTCCGCTCCTCCCTCTGCGCGGTTGTGTTTTTCTTCCGCAATTTCCTTCTTTCCCATCATCAAGCTGATTCAAGGCAGTGCCATTGCGCTGCTCCTGCTGTGGGCAGGCCCACAGCGCAACCGCACTAAGATGTAGAATGCCACTGCAAGAAAGCTTTCGCCTGGCGCAGCCGAAAGAAAGCCACTCTGGACATGAAAGGCCAGCGCGAGAGTCCCCACTGCAAGTTTGACAGGCAAAGATCATCCATGCTCTGCAGCATCTTCTGGCATTCCCCTTGAATTCGCGAGATGCATGTTGCATCTCCATGCCCATTGGCCATCAGCCAATCGCTAATGCGTTTCTTCAGCGAGCTGTTGCTGTTCAAGGAATGCTTGGGGGCCTTCTTTGGTACGGCGGCCCCCAAGATCTGCTCGGCTGCTAGAATTCGGGACCACTCAACAGAATCTGCAATGAGAGGCCATGTTTGCAGTGCAGACAGCACCTCTGCCAACACTCCTTCGTCATTCACCCGGGTCATATGATCCATGGCAAGTTGTATGATCATCATGGTCGCGCTTGGATCACTACATTCTCTCAGAAGGTCTCTCATCATCCAGGCGATCTGATCCTTCAACCTCAAGGTCGGATTCACCTTGTACGCCTCAGTGCTTGGCAGTCGAAACACCAACCACCACTGCATGTCCGGATCTGACGGGCCGAAGCGCAAGTGAACGTTGAGGAGTCGGTTGGTAAACGACTCGCAACTGTGAAGTAGTTCCTCGTGGATGTCATCCAGGGTAAAGCTGTTCCTGCAGTTTGAGATCATGTCATGGACTCGCCAGCTGATCGCGACAATGGCGACGTCTTCTTCACCCCAGAATAAATTCAACATGTGATGGATCATCATCTGCTTCTGCTGGACCTCTGCTTGGAAGGCCTCATCACGTGCACGCTGCATGCGCTCATCCAAGGCACCCTCTTCGAGCTCAACCAAGGACACCAGCTGCACCGGCTTGTTAAAAGGCACGCTCCGGCGGCGTCTGTCCAACATGTTGGGCAACATGGCGCCCATGGCACTTGGCGCAGGGAACATGCGAGAGCCTGTGTTCACACCTGCTGCTGCGAGAGATTCTTAATACATTCCAACTAATCGCATGCTCAAGCACATTCTCTTGAAAGTGGAGGCTGCAAAGGTGCGGCGGACGGTTTCAGCATGCAAAATGGCGCTGCTTAAATGCTTGTCTCTCTTTGCCAAATCTGCGACCTCCAAGCCTTCCTGCAACCTCCCATGCCATTGACATGCTTTCGGTGCGCACTTCCGAAAAGTTCCAAGCTCTCAAGACTCCCCCCCCCCCACACCCCAAACCCCCACCCCCAGCCACCCCCACCCAGCCCCACCCACCAATTCGCCCCAAGCCGTCGCCTGCGGCGGCCAGCAGCAGCGCCCCCAGAAAGAGCCCCGCGCCCCCGGCGATCTCCGCCACCCCGGTCCAGGCCACGTGGAAGGAGGCCGACCCCGGCAGGTACCAAAAGCCCCAGGTGCCCTCACGGGGACACGGGGAAGGCCGGTGGGTGGGGCAGGTTGGGGGGGGGAAGAAAAAGAGGAGGCCAAGACCGGGAGAATTGCTTCAACCAATGTGCAGCTCAAACCATGGCTGTGGATAATAGGCCCTTTCTGCAAAAGCGTTTAGTGATTGATTCCCATATTGTCAGCTTTCCTCCACAGAAAACCCAACATGATGCACCAACCTACATTTCCTGGCTTTTGACATGCCCATTTGGGAAGATCCCTCAGTTTGACAGCATGCTTCAAATCTCGCCACATCCAAGCATAGCATGTTTCCCTTGACTGGGCCGCACCGACCCCCTGGTTGAAATGGAAAATAAAGGCACGCAAAAGCTTCGAAACACACACAACATGTGTAGAGAACCCGATACATCCCCAAACCCACTCCTAACGGCTCCTCCGGCCACGCCTGGGGGGGATAGATGGCCTCGAAGGCCTCCTTGGCCGTGAAGTGGGCCACGCCCGCGGCCATGTACACGGCGCCCAGGATGGGCCACGTCTTCTGCCAGCCTCCGGTCGCGGTGACTCGTCGGGGACTCGGCCGGAAGGAACCCGAACAAACAGGTCGCACAAAACTCGGGGACCCCGATAAAGGTGGGGTTTTGCTGGGGTGTCCCTTTTGATGCCAAGGGGATCCCCCTTGGAAGTCAAAGTGAGAAAGTAGTCATGGGAATCAACCACTTTGCTGTCAATCCACAAACAACATAGAATCCAGGCAGCAAGAACAACAAAAATAATAGTGTTTCACAAAAGAGAGAGAGAGAGAGAAACACAACATAAATGATAATATATTAAACCAAAAAAACATGCCCGGCAAAACGGGAAGCGGAACGAAAAAGCTGGCTTTGAAATCGCTCTGTGCGGCTTGTGCCCATGTTTCTACCGCCCCCCAGCCCCGCTCGCTTTGTTTTCTTGCAGGAGGAAAAACCGCGGAGCAGTGCATCAAACAATGCAGGAGCTCGGAAAAAAACAAAGAGGAAGAGAAGCCATTTGCTTGGATTTCGCAGCACTTCTTGGCGCCTTCTGTCTCCCCCCAAAAAAAAACAAAAAACAACCAAACCAAACCGACCCCCCGCCTGCGAACCATCCCTCGGGCAGCAGCTCCCGCAGCACCTCCGACATAGATGTTTGCTTTTTCAGGCCATGTAGGTTTTATCCTTTGTACTCAAAAGATCAGTGCCATCGATTCTCCCGGTTCCACTTTTTGATTGGTTTCCCCTTGGCTTCTGGTCATGTACCTCACCAACGTCCATCTATTTGTTCTCTCCAAACAACAAATCGCCGCCTTTACATAACCGCCATCGGCCTTTTTCTCCCCCGAAAGGACACCCGCCCCCTGCCTCGAAGAGCTTCAGCAGGGCCGCGGTGCCGGCGCCCAGCGCCGCGAAGATCGCCGCCACCGCGGCCGCCTGCTGCGGCGGCGCCCAGCCGTCCACGCCGCTGGGCGCCAGCGCCGCCGCGGCGCCCGGCGCGGCGAAGGCCGCCGCGAGGGACGCGGAGCCGGCGAGGGAAGGCGCAGAGGTCGCCTGGCGCGGGTTTTTTGGTCTTGAGGGGGGGACGGGGGGGGAAATTGGGAAATGGATCGGCGAAAAAACACGACAGAATTTAAAAAGAACTGTGAGATGTGAGTAAACTGGGAGGTCCCAAAGCTTGAAGACATCTTTGGAAAAAATGGCCCGAAGAACTGTCAAAAGCGTTCCAAAGGAGCTTTTGAAGTGATCGAAGCCCTTGGCCTGCGGTTGCGGGGCCGGCAGGAAGCAGCGCCCGGCGAACAACGCTCCGCCGAGCACCAGCACAGCCCCGGCCAACTGGCTCCGGGAGCGGGCCATGGCGAGATGGAAAACAGACTGTTGGATGATGCGCGCTGAAATGGACGCGAAGCCAGGCAAACTTGAAACTTGGGATGGATTCCATGAAGGGATGATGGATGGAGTTTCCCCTTTTTTTTCTGGGAACCTGGATTCATGTTTGAAACCGGGCAGACCTTGCGGCGGCACAAAGGACGACGCTGAGAGCTCCCTCTCCTCAGCTCCTTCCAGTTTCTTTTGTAGTACCCTTGTATGAGGCATGCTCCAACACCGACATTCGGCTTCATGCGCTCCATCTTTCGGGTGAAGCATATGGGCAACAAAGCCAAGCTTGGTGAGGTCGCAAGCCAAACCCTCAGACTGCCATCTGTTGCCTACATCTGTCCTTTGTGCCAATGCAAATAGGGCCCGTTAGTGCACAGGTGTCCTTTTGGGAAATAGATGGCACTGGCAAATGACAAGAAACAACCTGCAACCAGTGGAACCCATCTCTTTTCAACCCAACTGAACAGAAATGGGCACCTATGCTTTAGCTAGGTCCTCCAGTAGAGAGGTTAGAATAAGGGAACCAACTTTTTGTGTAGTCTATTTTAGTAGGGGAACCCCTTCTTCAAAAAGGGTAAAAGGGCACTACTGGGGGACCTAGTTAGTGGTTGATACCCGTCTCCAGTCCTTTCATACTTTGCATCCCGTGAATTTGGGCCCCCGGCGTGCCGATGGCACAGGCGCCGCCCTGCAGAAGCCTGGGCTTGCTCAGCCTCGGAGAACGCGCCACGTGAATCGGCCGCTTTTCTGTGAGATCCAGGTGAGTCATAATCCAAAACCCGGTATCAAAATGCTCGACCAAGAAGCATGCTTCAAGAATAAAGAAGGCGGCCGCAGCTATTTATGGCAAGGGGATTGTCCCTTACTAACCTTCATCTACCCGGGTTTTGATTGTGCTCAGGTGGGATGCCCGAATTCCTGTGGCGTTGGCACAGTGCCCTGTGCGGCCAAACAACCTGCGCTGTGTGGTCCAGGTGCCCGATCAGAACTGAAATCACCACAATCACCCTGACAGTTCTCCAGTTCTTAAAGGGGGCAGCTGCGGCAGCCCTGCACTTTCACATTCGGTCAGCTCACAAAGTGACGGAAGCCCGAAGCGGGTCAATATATAGGTGTTTCCCTGGAATTTGGATAGCCCTCCCAAATGAATGGCTTGCTCATTGAGTCATTGAGTAAACCAAGTGCTTGCCCATATTTGGAACTGATTGTTTGACTTTGAGCACTGTTGGTCAACTGACTCGCACGTGTCAGGTTCCGGCCAACACGCTGTTCTTGTCTTTTCGTGGAGAACCATGCCTGAAGACCACCCAAGCCCCGAGCAAAAACTGCAAAGGGCCGAGTCAACCAGCCAACACAACACAAATCAGCTGCTAAAATGGGCAGCATGAATTCAAAGACATTTAAACTTGATCTTAGCCTGCGTTCCTACATTGCAAAGGCAGCTATTCGATCCATCGAGAAAAAGGAAATCCTTGGGCATCCAAGCCTACATTCCACCTCCACCCCCCTTGCACCAAGCTACGGTTGAGACATCATCAAATGTCCAGACCTGCTGAACCGCGCAACCAGTAGGTGAGATTTGTATCAGGCCGCCTGTAACTGGCCACTGCGCAAGCCTCCGCAAACAGAGTCCGATGTCATTCACAAGCAGCTCAACGTTTAAAAATAATAATAAAAAAAAATACGGAAATCCATTCTTTTGAATCGAGTCCATTTCTTTTCGAGCCATCGCCTGCTTTCTACCATGTGCAACATCCCCTTACCGTCCAAAGCGGAGTGGGCACTTTCAGGTGCTTGCGGGTTGCTTCTCCATTCAGCACTTTGCCTCTCTCCTGGCCTCCCGCTGCCCGGAGACCGACGTCTCGGGCAAGGGGAAGGTGGGCGGTTGCGCCTCTTCGCCCCCCCGCAAAACTAGTGGCTTTCGGGCCCGTGCCCACAGCTCCGCATGGCCTGAGCGGAGCTCGGAGGATATGGGCGGCTTGTCGGGTTTTTTGAGTTGGTATCCCCCGTCTTTGGTAAGCTTTAAAGGGAAACCAGCAGGACAACCAGGCTGTCTCTTCTTTCGTTCTTTGTATTTTGGGGGGGGCCATAAAAGGAGACGGACCCATAGGCATGTGTTTTGCTGAGGGTACCCTTTTCAGGGGTGAAAAGGACCCCGCCATGTTTTTTGTTTTTGTTGGGGGTGGGGAGTCCCCTTGTTTGACACACACACACACACACGTATTGTCCAGTCAAAGCGGACAGTGGATCCCAGTAACCCAACTGGCCCATAAAAAGGGGTACACGGATAATCATATGTTCAAATTATTTAGGGTACTCTAAGGATAGCTTTGGAGGATCTCATTACGGGAAAAAAAATCCGGGCGAGGTAGATTGGTTGCAATGGCAAAAACTGCACTTCTGTTGGCTCAAAGCTATTTTTGTACAGACACAGTCTTGTTTTTTAGAAAAGGGCCACCATCTCCTTTTGTTTGGCATTCGAGGCTCCTCTAACAAAAGTTTAAAAACTCACTTCCTGAGTAGATTGGACACTTGTGGTTCGCCACGAGAATGCTCTTCCCAAGACGTGACTCAAGTCCATGACCTAGGTGTTTCTCACAAAAAATAGGCTGCCACCAACGTGGGTTGCCCGATCGGCAAATGAAAAACGAAAACCCAAAACTCTACGGTGCTCGCCTGCAGCACTGCATCCAAGCCGTCGATGGCGCCGATGGCCCACATCGCCGCCTCGTTCGCCACGGGGCCCGTGGCGTTTTGGGTGAAGGCCCCATGTCTTCCGGGGTTAACTTCCATCTCAGGAAAATACGGCCATGCATGAAAATCGGGGTGAATCCTCCAATCAGGCCGTATTTCCTCAAAAATCCAACTCAAAGCCCTCGGGTTAGTTGTCAAAGACAATAGATCAATAGGTAAACAAGGAAACAACCCTTAGACTTGTAGCACAAAAAGAAGGCATGCCGTCGCAGGCTCCGGGATCAGAACTGGGAGGCCTGAGACGGACCCTGCCTCTGTGTCAGCGCCATCTCCTTGCAAGCCCTCCTGACGATAGACCCTTTGGGACTTGGAACGTGATCATATGGGTGTGTGTTTGTTGAGGGCACCATTGTTTTCGTGTCTTTACGGGCAAACCAAAAGAAAAACCCGCCATGGTGCGGGGGTCGATAAACAGACACACCCAATCACAGCACACACACACACACACACACCCGACAACACCCATGCCCCGTCACCCCACACCCATCCTCGGCGAGCACTTGGCACGCCCCAGCCGAGCGGAAGGCCTCGGAGATCGCATTTTGTGTCGCTTCAGCATAGACCGTCGCGACTCAGATGTGTCCGTCAAAGGACGTCGGTCAGAAGGAGTCAAAAGGTTGAGGCGTCAAAAGCAAGGCAAGGGCAAGCCGTGACCATGGAGAATTGGACGCCCTGTTGAAAGGTGACAACTTGCGGGGAGCCCACCAAACGCAAATGGGTGTGTCTTTTTTGTGGGGTACCCTTTGGGGGGACCCGTTTTGCGACACACCCAAGTGTCAGGGGTGCTGACAAAGCCCTATACTTCCCCTTTGAACATAGGAAACTCCCCAAAACTGGCCCAAACAAGTGCTGTCCAAAACCACCTATGGCAGTGCCGTTTTAGTTTACCCTTTTCATGCCGAAGTAAACATAACGGGGACTTTAGGTCCCCCGCCTGAGCTGCCTCTGCACACGCCTCTGCCAGCGTCATCATGAGGCAGGCGACCACTTTCCGCAGGTCCTGTCGATCCATCAAGCGGCCCAAAGCCCGAGTGCAGCAGCTGCGGACCAAAGGACATGGTGGAAACAAACGTTTGGCAACCAAGAAACTGGCAACCAAAAAGGGTTGAGGTGAAGATGGCAACCAACAACTCATGGGCGTTCCTCAAAATCGGGGACCCCGTGAAGTAGGTGTCCTGTTGGCGACAGACAAAGGGGGTCCCCTATTTTGAGACATCCCCACATGAGTGTGTCTTTCTGATGGTACCCTTTTTGGGGGTGGTTTAAAGGGAAGCCAGCAGCAAACCCGAAATCCATTTTGGGGGGGTCTGGAAGCCACCCATATGCTGATAGCATTGCTTGCTCTGGATTTCTCCTGGCAAGCTGGCCCCGAGGCCGAGCGCAGCATTTGCACCAGCAGGAGACAGCCTGGCAGATCTCGCCGGCAGTTCTTTCGGTTGGTTGGTTGGTTGGTTGGTTGGTTGGTTGGTTGGTTGGTTGGTTGGTTGGTTGAGCTGACTGGGCTGTCCGCTGTTTTAAAAGTGTCTATCTTTGGGTGGCTTAATAAGTGGAAACTACCACACTCACAAAACCCAAACACCTAAGGGAATGGCTGGGAACCACCAAGTTGAAGGACTGTGTGCTGCAAGTGAGCCAGTTTTGTTTCAGGTCGAAAAACTTCAAGGGCGATCCACGTGCCCCAACTTTGCTGGCAAGTCTGGAAGGCTTTAGTTGCGCTACATTGCAAGTCTGCTTTCCCTTCCAAAGAAATCAAAAAGAAAGTAGGGCTGCCTGTACTACACAGGCAAGGACACTACTAAATCTTCGAAGAGGCCCTCCAGCAGAACAGAAATGTTTCTCCAAGGAATGATGCTTCCACCAGGGTGAAGATAGCTTCATCAATCATTTCGGCTGGCAGTCATCCGAAACCCGAGGGATCATTGGACCGAAATGTTTCCTGGGCTCCACCACCGTGTCTTAAGACATGGCAGTCAAAGCTCCCAGCATGCTTGCTGCACCTTTGCATATGCTTAGAAGGTCTGAGCAAATGATGACTCACCCATCTCATGACTCCCTCTTCAGTCGCCTCACTTCCTGAGTGCATTGGCCAAAACAAGCCCAAACTGATCGATTGCCGCCAAAAATGGTCTTCCCACCAAAGCCATGAAGCCCAGCCCAGTAAGAATCGCCCCGACGAGCAGCTGCCCCCCCCCCCCTCGCGCTCTTTTGAAAGCATGCTTTGCAAGGCTGGCCCTGGCGATGGCCAGGCAAAGCTCACGGTGAAACGATCAGAAGTCTCAAGAAAAACACGCCATTCAGCACAGAAAGCATGGGGAGTGCAAGGGATTCAGATCACGTGTGGGGGTGGTGTGAGTTGCACAATCATAAAAATTAGGTTGATCAGTGCGGAGTCAATCAAGATTGAGATAAAAACCACCAGACAACCCAACTAGGCTAGACCAAACAATACATTCGGCACATGCAGTTCCGACAAGAAGTCTCAAATGTGGCTAAGCCCATAGATTTGGCAATGTCTCGCGGACATCTCTTTGTGGACTGTGTGAATGCAGGGCCGGGTCAGGTGCCAGCAAATCCGGAGACTCTCATTGGACACGAGCTCGTCCTGGCAAAACGGCAGCTGAACTGAGAATCGGCCTCCAGCGGCCAATATCAAATCCCGACGAATTAGCTTCAGGGATAAGCTGAAGAACAACCAAATCCCGATGTTCTAATTTCAGTGACTGCCCCTTCCAGCCCCTTAGCCTGCCCTGGAAGGTAGGCGCAAATCCTGCGAAAGGATCGCCGCTTGCTTGCACTGGGCTTTGACAGATTGAACAACTGTGGTCAAACTAAGCCAGTGGCCTTTATCAAACCAACAACTGTGCTTTTCGAGCTTCATCTTCCCTTTGCGTGTTTGGCCCAAGAAAAATGTGAAGCATCACCCTACATCCATGAAAAACAAACACCACTTCCATATTCCCGACTTTTGAAGGGGAATGGGAAGGCTTCCCTCGGCATCGCGGACAGGCAACCGACAAACCCGCCTGCAGTTGTCAGACCTTGAAGCCGGCGCCCTGCGCGAGTAGGCGGACAAAGGGGGGCGCAGAGCCTTCCAGTGGCATGTGTGTCCATTTCTTTGGGTTTATATGTCCTGGTGTCACAACTCTTGTCCTTTTCAAACCTGTTTGCAAACCTGAGAGTGAACCTCGACCTCGAAACGAGGCACTTCAACCAGAAACTGGAACTTGCTGTTGGTGACTAATGAACCGATCGATTGTTCTGCAACCAGCCTGAAACGCAGGGCTTTGTGGTTCAGGGTGTAGTTTGCTTAGAGCTAAATTATATGGATGGTTGACAGATCAGGGACAATTCAACCCGGTGCTGGGCATGTTGACCCCGAGGTTGGTGATGCCCACAGGGATTCTGACTCCGGACCTGCTGAAATCTTGTTGCTTGCCAACTTAAGCTCAGCGACTCAACGGATGATGATGCTTGATTCCATATCATGTAGCCTGGCGATACTGGTGTTTCGTTACATTCAGGGTACCCCTGTTGGTTGGCTGTTGCAAAAGGACAATCAGCCATTTTGGGGTTCCCTCGTTTACTAAAAACGTTTATATGGGTACGTCGAAATTGGTGCACCGTCAAAAAGACGCGCCCAAACACCTTCAAAGAAACTGACCGAACCAAATGCTCAGCGGACTATGTGTCTCACTTCCTGAGTGGATTACAGTTTGGCCATTGCTCGGCCCTGTGCTTTGTCCAAGCTCAAGTCCACGCGAGAGAGATGTGCACGTCTAGAAGCTGCAAACATCGCCTTTAGACTTGCGAATTGGGGAGCAACTCGAGTAATGGTTGAGCCCAGATCAAAAAAAACAACAGCTACTTGTTCATGTTTGTTTTTGGGTTTAGCGGGGATTCAGACCCCTCTTGGAGAACCCCCCCGTAAAAATCAACTGCCGTCGCAGATCCTGCCTTCAAGCGCGCCGGCAGGGACTGCTGCGCCCTCTCGTTCTCAGGCTGGGCTTCCCACTGGGCGGATCGGATGAGCGCAGCCGAAGGCCCAAAGGGTCGCCATGGAAAAGCACCCAAATACATCCAGTGTTTTTGAGAGTTGCAGTCTTGCCTTGCCAGTGACACAGAAACCGAACCCTCTAAAACTGAGCCACGACCAACAATATATATCAAATTCGTAAACCGCAGAACTGATCAGACCCCGCAGCGTCTGCACAAACAAACCAATGGGTCCTTTTTCCTGGCCAAGAGCCTCTAATTGTTTCATACCCCTTGGCTCCCGTAATCCTGTTTGGGGAGAGGATGGGATTGGTTTCTTGTTGGAAAACCAGGAATCAATTCACGCGCAGCACCTGGATGCCTATTCCGCGGCTCTCCCCGCAACTTATGGCAGCCGGCAAAAAGCAATCCGGCTGTATGGAAGCAAAATTAGTTGATGCCCAACACCCGCATGCCTATCGGATCCTATGGGCGACCCAGCAGAACCGGCCAGGCGACCAAACGCGTGGCCTTCACGGGCATGGTGGCGGGTTTCAGCGGCCCCTGCGGTGCGCGGCTGCGAGGCTAAGCCGAAGGAACCCGCAGAGTTCCTTACGAAGAGGTTCTCGAGTGAGCAAAACCTGGAAGTGGGGCATGCAAAACCCATGGGAAAAAGTTCAATGGGGAATCTGGAAGTAAACAAAACCCAAGGGGAAAAACACGTGGGAAAGGATGAAAAGGTCGGTTCTTAAGATCCGTCGCTGTTTATTGCAAGGGGATGGGTGCCTGAACCTCCAAGGCCCCGAATCGACTTTGAAAAGGTCATGACTCTCTTCAAGTAAGTGGGTGTGTGTGTGTGTGTGTGTTTGTAGGGTACCACTTTTTGGCTGCTTTTCAACGAACACCAAAAGGAGGGGTCCCTGAAACACACACACACACACACACAAGTTGAGCAGAGTTTGGTTGAGTACATGAAAAGGTGAACTTCGTGGAACCTCAGTCCTGGATTTTCGCGCGTTTGCAACGCTTACCCCGCCAAACTGCCATCTGTTGGTCTCTGTGCAAAGGAGACCCCTGGCTGATTTAACGATGGCTTCGAGTTGGTTGTTTGAAATAGCTCCCCTGCAATGTCGTCATGGAACCCCCAAAAACAACTCTTGCACTCAAAGCGATTCCAATCCTACTCAGGAATCGGCTTGGGAAACAATCCCAAAGACCTGGGCAAACACATGCAATCCTGGCTCAACGGCCAAACTGCTGAAACAACAGACCTCCTCTTCGTTCAGGTGACCGACTCGTTGGCAGGTTACATTTCGCCCTCGGCAAAAGGAGCTCTCCGTCGTCCGACAAAGCGCGCGCCTCATCCAATGCTTCTGCCAGGCCCGGCACCGAGTTCTTCTTCCGTACCTCGGAGTTAGTGGAGGTGGGGAGAGTTCAGCCGAAACTTCGAGAATGGGTCAAGGCCGAAGAGGTGCCAGAGTTTTTTTCTCCGCTGGGTCTCATCCGTTTTCCTGGTCCTGATGGGTAGAGAGGCAGCATCATCAGCAGCGTCATTTGTTTGATTTGGAGACTCAGAGTTGGCACCAAGGGTATGATTCATGCTGGCTGTGAGCATTGCCCTGGATTGCGGATTGCCAAAAAGTGTGGTCCAAATGATGCAGGTACTGGGGATGCTGCTTCTCAAGACCAACCAAACCCAGCCCAAATGGGCGGCTTCCTTTCTTGTGTCCTTTGTTCGATTCACCAATGACCCAAAGGACGTGAGAGGCCTCCCTAATTCCCCATATGACTGAGGCAACTGGCAACCACGCAAAGCCAAATGCGGGGAGGCTGGGCAACTCTCTTTGGGGAACGTTTACAGGAAAACCAAAGTGAAACTACCATTTGGCTGTGGGTCAAAAGCAATGGGATCCCATTTTGGGGTAGGTGCACCATCTACTTTTAGTGGGGTTCACTGGGGGCACGGGCTTTTGACCCATGGCCTTTTTGGGGAGGCTGGTTGCGACAAGGGAAGTCAACTTCAGCACTCTTTTTGCAAATCCATTCTACGGGACTCGATCCGCTCCGCGAGTGAAGCAGGCAGCACAACGATTGCTTCGTAGCTGGGTCTGCCTTTCCTCGCCTCAACTTCCCAAGACTTGGTTGACGTTGGAAGGGTAGCAAAAATTAGGTTTTAGCAGTTAAGTGGGGATGTCCCACTAAACCACAATAAGCAAAATGTAAAAAAGTTTCCAACAACAACCATGAAACATGTGTGAACCAAAAAAGAAACTTGGCCAGACAAAGTGACCAACTGCTTGAGATGAAGGAACCCCGAACGGGCCTTGAAGGGCAAGGAGATGACCGGTGGTGTCGATGGGTTCAAAATGCGGGCAGGTCTAAAAGGGAACATCTGGAGTCAGAATTGGTGGAGGAAGGAGAAGCGAAACTCATCT